GCCTGGTCTCATGGCTGCCTAAAGACCATGTACGTCTACCTTTAAAGACCATGTACGTCTGTCTTAGAGGTTCTGGTGAGCTACAAACAGAGATGTCACAGCTTTTTAAGAAATTCTCTTTCAGAAGAATTTGTTCTTTTATCTTTCTTCACTCTGCTGCATGAGCTTGGCTATGATAGCCCCAGGCCCAGCAGACTTCTGCACAATTAAGATGAGGTTGACCCAGTAAATAGGAGGGCTATGAGGTGGGAGTCTGAGTTCTGGGTATTACAGAGGTGCTCCATCAGCATTGATCTCCTTACCTCTACCGCTATGTAAGACAGGAGTAAACTGATCTCTTATTTAAACTACTGCTATTTTTTTAATCTGAAATACAATATATCTGAAATATAGGTTAATCACTAATTCGGAGACATTAAAAACCAGTCCAAGGGTTGTTTGTCTCCAAAGTCCATTATCCTTCAACTGTGCACTTTCCATTTTGAAAATCACCTCTCAGCATAATATGCAGGTCCTCCAGTTTCTTAGACAGCAATCCCACTTCCTTTTCCTGGATTCCCCCTTCCTCTTTATTGGCTGTAGCTGGGTATTGCAAAAAAGAATAAAGCAGAATAAATCATCCATTTTAGAAAAAAATGAGTATCAAAATTTAAGAAAGTTTTATTTTTAAAAAATGACATATATTAATTAAAAAAGAAAAAAACATTGAAAATTATATAAAGCAAATAAGGCAGGCCATGCATTTTCAGATATAGATAGTCATAGAATTAGAACCTAATCATACCTAATGCTCTCATCTTAGTAAGGATTTCTATTGCTGTGAGGAAACACCATGACCAAAACAACTTGGGGAGGAAAGAGTTTATTTGGCTTACACTTTCACATCACTGTTCCTCATTGAAGGAAGTCAGAACAGGAAGTCAAACAGGGCAGGAACCTGGATGCAGGAGCTGATGCAGAGTGGAGCCATGGAGGGGTGCTGCTTACTGGTTTACTCCTTATGGCTTGCTCAGCCTGCTTTCTTACAGAACCCAGGACCAACTGTCTAGGGATGGCATCCACTATGGGCTGGGCCCTCAGCCCTCCCATATCTGTCACTAATTACAAAATCACCCTTCAGGCCTGCCTAAAGCCAGATATTACTGAGGCATTGTATCAAGCTTTCTTGTCAGACTATCTTTGGATTACCAGCTGGCAAATAAGGACCCAGAGACTTATTATTAATTATGAAAGCTTGGCCTTAGCTTAGGACTTTCCCCAACTAGCTCTTATAACTTAATTAACCCATTTTGGTGGGTTGTGGTTTTGTTTTTTTTTTTTTTTTTTGTTCTTTTTTTTTTTTTTTTTTTTTTTTTTTTAAAACAAGGGTTTTCTGTGTAGCTTTGCCTTTTCCCGGAACTTACTCTTTAGCCCAGGTTGGCCTCGAACTCATAGAGATCCGCCTGCCTCTGTCTCTCTCATGCTGGGATTAAAGGCCTGCGCAACCACCGCCCGGCAACCCATATTTTTTAAATCTATGTTCTGCCACATGGCTCAGTTACCTCTTCTTAGTATAGCACATCTGACTTGCTCTGAGTCTGCTGGTGGAATTCCACACATAGATTCTTTCTCCTTTTCCTCTCTGTCCCCAGAAATCCTGCCTAGCTATTGGACATTCAGCTCCTTAGTAAACCAACCACAGTGTACAAATATTCCACAATAAGGCATTTTCTCAATCAAAGCTCTCTCCTTTCAAGTGACTAGAGTTTGTGTTAAGTTGACATAAAACTAGCCAGCACAGTCCCCTAAAACTGTTTCATCTCAAGAAATGTATGCACAGACCTGGACGGAGCCTCTTCTGACCACTGACGTCCCTCCCTCCCCAAACATCACTGTTGAGGAAATACCAGTATCCTTGCAAAGTAGCTGAGGTTATCTACTAGGAGGTCCTCAAGGACTTTCTCCTGACAGCTATAATAT